ATTAACAAAACTAAAATTAAATAAGTGTATATTAGGCATAGAGCTAATTATGTAAGAAATTAATGTTATTAATTAATTATTAATAAAGCTAAAAATAAATAAGAGTATATTAGGTATATAGATAAATATGTAATGGTAAATTGGGTATTCAAAAATTTCTCATAATATCGTAGGTAAATGCCCTAGTTCTTGTAGGGAATAAAGATATACCCATAATCTTAAGTGATCCATTGAACTATTTTCACTAAAATTTAATACTATTTTTGGGTTTAAATCGACATAAAAATATATTAGATTAAACCAATTGATTATGATTACTTTCACTCAAGAGAAGTAATTGACTAAATTAGAAAATTGGGTTTAACATGTTTAATGGGTAATTTATTAATGTACATGTTGAGAAATTAAATAAGCGACAATTAAGTAGAATTATGAATCCCAACTATTTAATCATAAAAGCCTTCCTAAATTTGTAATGTGGTTTGTTTTGAATTGAATTGAATTTTTTTTTCTTTTATTTTCAAAATTTAAATCCACATTGTGTTTTTCTTTAATTGTTAGAATTAAAATGATTAGAGTAATGTAATTAAAATTAAACATTTATCGAGAGATCGACTAGAACTCACAATCCGCTTTATTATTTGAACACGACTTGTGCACTTGCGGTACAATAATTTCAATGAACATCGAGCACATGCAGACATTGCAAACCAGAAACCACTGATAAGGGAGATCAATACTATTATCAACAGACCTTACATGGGCGGGAAAACAATGAATGCATAAAGGAATCACAATCGAGCTGTCGACATAAGTGCACCGAGAAGCTATTAGGTTCGAGTTAATTCTAAAAGTATATCTTGTTCAATTATGTTTAACGATGATGATGAGTATGGAGTCATTTATCCCAGTGACGGACCCAACACAAAAGTTTAGGACTGGCTGACCAAATGTTGATCGTTGACTGTAAACACCTTCAATCACTGAGGCATAAAAGAGCATAGAAAATAGTTTATATAATTCCAAACATAGCTGCAAGTGTAGTTAAAATCCACTATTTTCTAAAATGCGAGCAAGGGTGGGTACTCATATTAGCCTCATTTAGCATCCATATCACCCAATTAAAGGGTTAAATAGAAAGCAATCAAACTCATTCAGTCATTCCTCAATTTATACACTAAAAAACTCTTCTTTGTAGTAAGCATTAAAATCCCCCCTATGAAAAACCTTCAACAGAAACCATGTTGTTTTCCTTCTAGTTTACATGTGCATTCTCACATTTTCTCATAAACGAGAAACTCCAAACAGAAACAAGAGAAAAGGAAGGAAAATTAAAGCAACAAGGAATTCAACCCGCAATGAATTCTTCTTCAGTAAATTAGACAGTAGCATTTTGTTATCTGCATCTTCCCACAACCTAATTTTTATTGGGCCTAATTTTTTTAAAAAAGGCCCAACTCTCTTAGCCCAAAGCCCAAGGGCAAAAAAAAGATGGCCCAAATTGCAAAATAATGGTCTTCTTCTTCCATTTTTCTTCACATCTTCTCTCTGTAAGAGTAACCCGGCGACCGGTGGTATTGAAGACTCTGACGGATCCAGCATGGGCGGCCGCCCCCCCTCGCCGGGTGCTGGGTCTGCCCGCGATAAATTTTATCCCCCTTATAATGCCTTCGTCATACGAGCAATAATTGCCCATAACGGTCTCAAACGTATGCTCATGGATAATAAGAGCTTTGTGAATTTTTATTTTGAAACACATTTGATCAAATGCAAGTTGATTACGCTTGGACATCAATGCATGATCCTCTTTGTGGTTTACTAAAGATCGTTTAGTCCCATGCAAACAGATCATTCTGGCGATAGAACTTGAAGAAAAACCAACTGTATTCCCAAGGGTATATAATTTTTCTGATTATTGATAGTAGATCCGTCTACAATGAGATTTTTGGAATGCCCACTTTAAAGTTGACACCCTCGTTTATAACCCCCTCATAATAGGGGGCCCATGCCCAATAAAAAAATAGTAAACACTGGCCCCCCCAATTGTGAGAGGGACTGTACACCTGGATTTCAACCCCGATATGTACATAGCAAAACACCTTCTTAAATACAAAATACAACAAAGACAGGCAGCTAGCATAGCCAATTTCACAGACACGTGTAAACTCGATACCCGACCATCTAGGTGATTGGGTCCAGCCAGGTTAGCAGGTGGGTCTTGTTAGTACATTCCCTACCATCTTGGTTAAACCATTAACATTTCCCTCCTTCCTTTTGCATGGCCTCCGATTCCATTATCCATTTCA